TTCCAAAATCCAACTCCAACTGATACTATTCTTCCTACTACAACATATCCTACATTCCCACAATATCGAGACCTTATTGGATTTACACAAACAAGTTTATTAATTCGTTCTACTGTACCATGAACACAAGATATAAATTCATTATCTTCAATTCGAATTCCATTTCCTGGAATACATCCTTCTTCATAAAAAATTTCATCTCCTGGAGTAACATGATTGTTATCATTTATGGGAACTATTTCCATTATTATGTTTTGTTCATTTTAGTTTTTTTTCATTTATTTTGTTTTTTAAAATTTTAAAATTCTTTGAGTCTTATTTTTATTCTTTTTGTTTTAAGGATTATAATCAGTTTTATGAATCATTTATTTTAACTATCATACCTTCCTTTAAGTCATTGAAACTTACTGGTAACCACCAAACAATTTTAAGAAATAAATATTTCATTTTATTTTTAATAAATTTTGATAATGAAAAATGATTATTTAACATTAAACTCTCTTTTACTAATATTATTTATTGTTTTTATGTAAATTATTGTATTAAATTAACTTTTTCAATAAAACAAAGAATTAAATTGATAATAATAATAAAAAGATATTTTAATTGGTAAGAAACAATTAATTTAATAAATCATTTCCATTTTAAAAGTGATGGTTTTAACTGATACAAAAATGTTCTAACTAATTCACATTAAAAGCTTACATAATTCAATTAGAACAAAAACAAATTATGTAATTTTAAAAATGATTTATTACAACTAAAAGAAGTATTAGAAATGGATAAATAACAGCTTTGAACAAAATATTTTTTGTTTATTAAAAAAAAAAAATAAAAGAATAACTAAAAAAAAATATAACATTTTTATCATTTTACACAAAAATGTCATTAAAAAGAGAAAAACAAGTGAGGACATTAAATGATTTGGATACAATTAAAACATGTGATTTCCTTGCAAATGAATTGTATAAATATTTACAAAAAAATTGTTACTTATCTTTTTTTGATGATAATATGGATGTTAAAAGACAAATCGATGAAATAACTGAACGAAATGATGGATCTGTTGTAAGTGAATACAAAGAATTATTTACTAATCTTATCGAAGCATATGGAGAAGGAACTCCAACAGCAGCAGTTTCACAAATGTGTCTTGATGCAGTGAAAGAATTTGAAATTCAATATATTATGCCTGATGATAATAGTAAAGAAAGAAGAAGAGAAGGAAGAGGTCTTCTTGATGGAGAAACAACATTAAAAAAAAAGAAAGTTGAAAATCTTATAGGGAAATTTGCAAAACGTATTATTATGGAAGATAAATACAAAACTCTTGATGACCTTAAAACTGAAAAAAGATTTTTGATTAATAGAAAAGATGAGATAGAAAAAGAGATTGCAAAATTAACAGAAGAACTTAAAGATTCAATTGAACTTATTTCACCTGAACCAATAGATAAAATTGAACGAAAAGACTTTAAAGATCCATTCTTTTTTAAAAAGAATAAAATAAAAAAGAGTAAAAAGATTGATAACAGTTCATCTTTTCAACCACCACCTATAAATTCAGCATTATTGGATACTACTGATGAATC